CTCGGCAAAGAAACGATTAGCAACATGGCCAAGAAGTACCAGCAGTAGCAAATACCGCAATAAACAGTAGAATAGTGAAATACATATTATAACAACACCATGGGAAGGCGAATGCATACCACCATTTAAATTGCATGTTACCAGTCAAAAAACCGTGATTGCCTTAAAATATGTTAGAAAACGCCAGTTTCTTTACCTAAACTCAGCAGGGCTACTTAACCCCAAAATTTGACGGAGCTACATGTTTAAACCCCATATCTGGCAAATAAGGTTTCGGTTGTAACTTACGAAAAAGGCATTGGAGCAACGATTTGAACGTTTAAGACTCGCTACTTCATTGCATTTGATAGGCCAGCTATTAATATCTTGCTAACTGCTTTATGTGCAGTGCGGTGCATTTGTCCAATTTTCACTCTTATTTACCATATAGTTAAATAATTACGTCTCTAAGCTTTACCTGTGCTGAAAAGCAGAATTCTTCGTGAGTTTGTTCAAACGGCAAACTGTCACTTCTGCAAGAACACTTGATAATGTTGCTAGCCTGGTTCATATTCAAAATACGATAATTTAAAATATCGAAAATATTGCAAAACGAATGCCTGTAGACCCTGTTCAGGGAGAGAGACTGTAGGGAGTGTTTCAATTATCTGAAAATTACTTTATTGAGCCTCCCGGCTAAAGTCTGTGCAAAAGTGCTAGAAACGTGGTTCCGCGGAATAATTGACTCCAAAACACAGGAAGCGAAGTGTGGCTTAGGGCCCAGCCGAAGCACATCTGGCCAGATACTCCCCCCACGCCAGACCGTTGAGAAATCGTAGAAGTTCGCCCATCCGGTGTACATGTTTTTTTTGACCTAGAAAAAGCCTATGACCGGATCCCACGCAACAGTCTGTGGCCATGCCTTCGAGCATACGGGATAAATGGCCAGATGTTAGGGGCCATCCAATCACTGTATTCTGATAGCAAGTGTCTTGTCAGGGTAAATGGCATTAAGTCGAAGCCTTTCAACGGTGGCACTGGTTTCCGCCAAGGCAGCGTCCTGTCCCCTATCCTGTTTGTGTTCTACATGGATAGTATAGTTGGGAGCTGCCAAGGAGATCAGTGTAGGAGATGTGAAGACGATAAGGTTGCTGTTTGCAGATGACCTTACCAGACATCTTCCAAAACTAGTACAGCACTCAATGAAAACTTTCCCAGCTGAGGGCGACGTGGTCGGCATGCGTGTGAACGTATCTAAAACGAGAAGTTTCGTGCTTTCTCGTTCTCCAGCCAATTTCTGGCTTCAGACAAACGGAAGTGGGGAAGTTCAAGTACTCTGGGTCAAGTACTGATA